GGAACATGCATCAACGATCTGGGTAATTATCATTGTCAGTGTCGCTATGGTTACAGAGGAATCAATTGTGAAGGTAATAACTCATTGGCTGGAGTAGTCACATGACCTCACAAAAGAAAAATTGCTCAGAGCATGCGCAGAGCAGAGATATTTTTGAATTACATTTGCCGGCGTACTTTAATATGTGTGTTTGATTGTGTAGATGAGCAAAAATGTCACTCAAATCCATGTCAAAATGGCGGAACATGCTACGAAAACAGCGGAGGCTACACKTGCACATGCCTTGATGGTTACCATGGCATCAACTGCGCAGAGCGTGACCGTTGCCATCCCAACCCGTGTCGTCACGGTGGAGCATGCTCAGTAGATCATGATAATGCTGTATGYTCATGTAGTCCTGGTTGGGCTGGACCAACATGTGAAGGTAACACGTCGTAATTCACATGGGTCAAAGCAGAAAGCGTCATGAACTGTATTGTTGTTTCAGATGAAGATAAATGTCATCCTAACCCGTGTCTTCATGATGGAGTATGCGTCAATAAGGAATACCGTTACGACTGTCATTGTCCAATTCAATGGTCTGGACTTAACTGYGAAAGTGAGTTACYAAACGTTGTTACCTGAACATTATATGTTSTGATAATTAATTGAATGATCGTTATTCCCATGAATAGCACCATCAGCAAGTTTTGCAGCACCATTAACWCAGACGTCACAAGTAGTCAACGCATGCGCAGCRACCAAGTATGGYTGCTGTCCRGACGGCATTTCTATTGCACARGGTCCTCAACAATCAGGATGTCCAGGTAGAAATCGATTTRAATAACAAACCTGAAAATACGTTTTTCTCATGCTTTTTGTTTACCTTTTTCTTTCCCTAAAATCTACAGATCATATACCAGGTAAGACAAAAAACTGTTTTTAATAGCCACTAAAACACAACAAATTAAACTTCTTAGCACATTTCAATATCTTTGTATATGGTGTATCCAAAATGTTATACTTCAGACAACTACGTCATGATAGTGCAGAAACTTAACGACATCGATTGTGTGAAATAGTTTTGAGTTTTCAATAAAGCACATACTCAYAATTTTACTAAAGATTTCACTAAAATGGACTGTTTTCCCTGTAATCTCTTCAAGGAATAGGAAAACGATCGTCAATACCGAAGATACACAAGAAGAAACATAAGAAGAAGGCGTAGCCCAGCCTTTTACGCACCTTTGGTGAAAAGTGTAACGAAGTTTTTGGGGATTTCATGATGGATGTCATTGCTCATTTATCACGTGACTCCTTAATGGATTCTCGATTGAATCAATTAGCAAACTTTTGTCAATATTTGCAATCAGTGCTAAACAATAGTATTGAATGAATAAGTTCTTAGGATCACTCAGCTATAGTTGATTCAGCAATTACAGGAATAGGAAATATCAGTTTCCCAGTCTCCCAATGCTAATACTGCCCGAGCTAGGGCTGGGCAATAGTGATATGTCATTTGTAAAATGCTTTGTAAATAAAGAGATGTTCAACACTGAGTGATCGTAATTGACAAAATAATTAACTMAGATCAAGTACCTTTAGCCACCAAACTTCGTGTGACCTTTACATACAAGGTCAACGGGTATGACATTAAGTCCAGGTAAGCGGTAAAGCGGAACCCTCACGCATGCGTACAAAGACGTAATAAAATCGATCCCACATGGACTAATTTCTGACAATATTCATTGTTTTTATAATGTTTATTGAAATTAATGTGCCTAATCGATGTTTAGCAATTTTACCTAATGGCTGCTATTTCTTGTGAAATCGATGAATTAAAATGTCTAGTGTGTTAATTTTAGAGAGGAAGGTAAAAAAGGTGAAAAATACATATTAGATTCGAAATCATTTGTTATGGATATACACTTAGAAAGAAACCATTATATAGTYTCTTGGAATCTATATCTAATGGCATTATCTCTCGACTTTCACACGACATACACATTACGTTATGGTATTAATCCTGGCTTCGAAAAAAGCAGCCAACACTAGTGCAAACTAATCTTAACGATCAGAGCATGGGATRCACATTCTCTGGCTTCCTCGTAGACGGAAAGACTCGCCTGACAATGGCTTCCTGCAACGATTGCACACRAAACACTCTTCGTGATAGAACTTTTCATCATACTTCACAAACTCGATGTTTCCTTCCAGAACGTTTCTGCAGACTTCACACTTCTTGGCGTAACGCTCGTGGTAACAATCGTCGCACACCATCTTTCCCTCATGCTCTGTGAAGGATTTCCCTGCGAGAGGTTTCCTACACCGTGCGCATACGAAGCAATCACTATGATAAGTGCCTTCGTCACGTGTTACATACTTGACGGTGCCTTCAATGAAGTTTCTACACGCCACACAGCGTTTGGCATAGTGAGAGCGGTTGCAATCTTTGCAAACCTGCAAAACATTGTAGCAAAAGTAATGTCATTACCAACAACATACAATGAAGTTCAATTTTTTAAGGCACTTTTAGGATCATATATTCAAGATATGAAATCGAGTTACATTAGTGAAGGTGATCAACCTCGTTCCCAGGGCTGCACCAAAACGAAGGGAGAAGGGATTGGTGACGAGATTGATAATAACAATGATGAATAGATAAGATGTATTGCGTCATAGTCACGTGTCGTTGCRTTACCTTCTTATCATCCCTCATTTGGAAGGTGACACCAGCAAGCGGTTTACGGCAATGCCAGCACACGAAACAGGTGCTATGGTACGGGTTGTTGGCATACCGCACAGTCGAGTCGGTAATCATTCGATTGCACTCGTAGCATTTCTAAAAACGCAGTAATGTAATTAGCAGGAGTTCGACGACGTGATTATTAATGCCACAAGTATGTTCTATGGTATTAAAAGCATTTGCTCAGCGTCCTACCTTCGTTTAGTCAAACGGACTAAAGGGACGAAGTTTGTGCTCTGGATGTATGTCCCTCAACCCGCATGTATTGCGCATGACTTAGTAGACAACAACAACGACGACAACAAAATCAACAATGCCGACGCAATCTTTAATCATAGGTCGACTGCCAAGATAAACTTATTCCATTTGCTTCTTGCTAAAATCAGTTATCTCATTCTTTAAATTGCTTTCATTTTATAGGTTTTTCAGCACGACTTGCTCAAACGTCACGTTATATGCATGGYTGACATTTACGTATAATGACGGTATCTGATTGGCTGATTTCAAAGCTTAAATATCGACCATCKTTGTTAACATGGCTCAGTAGGCAACAATAGCTCGTATACGTGTTGATATGAGTGTTTAAGTGCCGTCACAACGAAATAAATGACATTGTTGAGATAACTTAATAATTGCATTTCTTTATTGAATTTATGATCGATATTTTTAACGATAGATAAGTATACAGGTGTTCTTGTAAATGAACGTTATAAATGATGTTGCTGCTTAACACCATAAAGCTATCATTATTTTTCATGTTATTATTGTTCAATAATAATATTTACATATGAATAATAACATAATAACATAGTTTCGTAGCTAAAAGAACTGATTGTCATTCAGTCAGAACGTCGATATCATTCACCATCCCTTATCGCTGGCAAGAAACCTGATAGTAGGGTTGATGAAATGATCATTCGTTCTAGAATAATTTTAATAAAGAAATGCACAAGTCTTCTAATTAAAGCACCCAGCAGAAAAAAAATAGAATAACAGTTCACATTCTCGTACGTGACTCGATGCATGAATCCCTTTTAGCGGTTACCCAGCACACCTTTTCAAATATTCTGACATAATACTTTTAAGGATTATTTGAGCAAATACTCTCAATCGCGTTAGTCTGATTGTGGTTTTCTTGGAGGTTGGCACACCTTGTTGTTATAGCAAAAAATAAACCCTTGAGATAACTATTCGTAAATAATCAGAAATATATCTAAGCATCGTTTGGAGGTCCTGGCAACCAGCATTGCTGTATATTAATGTCAATTAAATAGTTAATAGCCATCGTTGTGTGATATATAGATCCTGTGGGGAACAGTTATAGGAAATATTTGTATTGCTGAAATAAATCCTTAATCCCGTAGAACAGAGATAAGAAGTGTTTAAACATTTTGAAATTATTGAACAGCATGATACGGCGGTAAAATTGACGAAGTGCACATGTTTAGACTAGCGTTRGGAGCTACAAAACACATCCCTACCAACCAAAGATGTCGATGATGAATCATTTTTTAAGCGTTTTGTTTCTAATTTGGCGAGATTTTTAATAATCTGGATATGTCACGCATTATGTGACATGAAATAGCAGAATGTGTCGATTATGTTGATCCAACATTCTTTGCATATCACTCGAACTGTGTTCCAGATCCTTACATATACACACCTAAAACTAACAATACAATCATGCAATTGATAGGCAATGTCTKTTCTATTTGTAAGAAAGCATGTAGATTATTCCTTTCTTAGTTGTGTATATTTCAGCGTTTTTTTAAGCGTCAAATACCTGTCTATTTAAAGTGACCCTTGCTTACGCGGAATTAGAGAACAAATGTTTCAAACTACAGCAGTTTGTGCGGGATCTATCGAGGTTTATGTGTTAGCATTTGAAACATTGGTAATATCAAAGCGCGCAACGGACGGTTGCGGTGAAGGCAAACAACATTTAAGTAAAACAGTTGCGTCCATCACAGTCACAGCACATTACCACCTGCCAGGACCATTGAGTTGCATGAAATAAATACAACTAAATGGAAGGGAATATGCAACTGCAAATGAAGCGCGTTATCATCAAATAATCGACAGCGATGAGCAAACGGTCATAGTGTAAAATGAGCCAATRCAACAAAGCGTTAGAATCACCCTCGAGTGACKTTCACGACCTCGCTCGCTTCTTTAGCGTTTSAACATGTAAACGAAGCATAGAAATGCTGTAAACACGTCCATCAACCTAAAGCTCACTGCTTCACGTATATAGCTATATTGAAAAGAGTCTTACCTCAGACATGATTGGTGAAAATAGAGTAGAAATAGGGTGATCTCGTTGTGAAGTATTAGATCCGCAAACACACCCGACTACAGCTAGTGGCGATGATAGTTAAAGGCTGCGGTCTACTTAAGACTGCTCAACCCTCTATAGCACACGATAGGAATTTAAGACGTTTGTGATGTAAAGAATACATTGAATTGAACAATCGTTGGCGTGTACAACACCTTAGAACGTGGAAGATGAGATCGAAYTGGTACATGGGAAATGGCTTGGATCGAGCTGCAACAAATTTTGCTTATTGCCTATAAAAATAACTTAAACAGCAACTTAAACTATTAATTTSCTAAAACATAATGTTATTATTAGAGCAATTCGTTCAATTACCAAGAAAATACCGCGTTTCCCATGAACCCTTCCAATCTCTGCTTCAACGTTGTATGATTTTGAGCACCAACCATTGATAAATTGCGTATATGAATATTTTTATATCGTGGATGTTGATTGGCTAAGACCGCACCCATATCATYTACTGGGGTCAYAGGGCAAACTCAGTCAGCCTTCAATTCTCTAGATTGTTCGTTAGTATTAATTTTGAGCCTGACTAACTACAAAAATGTTTACAGAAATGATGAGGTCAGAATTCGATGAGTAGAACAGAAGAGAATATTTGTAGACTGAAAGTAAGCAATACTCCAATAAAACCAATTGTTTTTTTTATTTTAAAGTTACACAAATCTAGTTTAATTCCCCGTTAATTCAAACAATACAGCACACCTATGAATAATGATATTGGCATTTTTACATCTTAAAAAATATAATGAGAATATTTAGATATTTAGACAATTCTCATAATTTTTGCAAAAGGCTGTAACACTAGGATAACTAAATATTAATATTATCCGCTATAAATAAATGATGATTTTTTTACGACTCAACTGGTAAACAACTTATTTCTTCATTAGACTCTCAAGCAAATAAGCAAATGTTTTTGACAATGTATTTACAAAAGYGATTTTATGACAACTGCTAGTGAATTTCTATCGATCTGTTGCGCATCACTGCGCACAAGCGCAGAGTGACTATTAAAAGCTTGCTGCGTATTGTGACCTCGAGATTCGAGAAATAAGAACACAATTACTATACTCAGACGAGGACGATTTACCACGATCTGTGGTGGTTGAGTTAAGCCAGGTTAAGCCAATGGATCAGACGAGACAAAAATGCGTAGGCGATGGCATCCCCACCCCCACCCCCTAGAGTATGTTTTTGTGAGATTATAAAGTTAGACCGATTTCCCCCAAAAAAGATGTATAAAAGCAAAATAGCGATACAGTTGTGTAAAAAGATAAATTTAACACCGTAAAAAAGTAGGTGAAATAACTTACTAACGACGCGGACGTTAATGAAAAAATAACCAGTCGTTTTCCCTAGAAGTSTTATCAGCGTGGAYCAGTCATTGCATAGAATAACAAGKCTTCTAGAAAACATGGTGGTCAGACCCGACTTCTAGAATACTTAATCACTGAATGATTCTAGAACAGCGACAATAATGATAATCTTTACACCCAGTTGACCACACTTACTGACTAATCCTATGAATCGCAGTGGTTTTTAAACCTTTTTCAATGACTCTAAACCTCAAATTATAKTCCATTTTATTAGAAAGTTAATGTGAAAGCATCCATGTYTTYGTCCAAWTTTGTGGTCKTTAAACTGATGAATTGGTCGTAATAAAGAGTGTATCTCAAAGTTAAATTGGTCCTCCTGTGTTAAATTACGACCGTGCTCAGCCCATTCCCCTGAACCTTGTCTTGAAATTTTGCGTATGGTCCMGTATTTGATTGTCAACGAGGAAAATGCTTCGAAAAAAAGCCCGGAGAAGTTTGACATATCTCAATTATCCATCAATTCAAGACTTCAGATAGCATGGGTTGTAGTACAAGGACTAAAGGAGTTGCTCTATCGTTAATTCACCTTATGCTAGGAGTTTTGGGCATCGTCTTCGGTGTTGTCTCGATAAAACTTGAGGAAGCCAACTACAACAATGGCCTGTATGGAATGGGTATTTGGATAGGAATATGGGTAARTCATATTCAAAATTAACTTGTGATTGTCACAGTTTGTTAGCACTTTTATGTGTTTTCATAACACATTTAGGTCTAATTATTTTATCGCCTGCMTACGTGGAAGGTGTTTATAAACTGTTAACTTTTCGTTTGCATGTTAAATTCGAATGTATATTGCGTGATTACAAAAGCACTTGCTTGATTATTTCCGAGTTTTCGTATTTATATCTCTAGAAGTAAAACGTTGTATAGATCACGATCTATATAGCAACACGTATTGTTATGTAAATGTACGATCAAGTCCACAGTATAGCTGTTGTTCAAGCTCCTTTGTTCAGACAACCAATCGGTTTCCTGTTTACACTCGAATAGCAAAGCTAATTGCGTAACTCTATCGCTTTTTGTACAATTTCAAAACATATGCTCAACACATCAAAATGTCTAATCCTTTTACACATTTCTCTTTCCCTAAATAACTGTCTGAAAACTCTTGAATCTCTGATAATCTATGTATGTTGTTTTTAGATGCTGTTAACATGTTTGTTAGGGTTACTTACTTCATCAAAACAGCCATTAAACAAATGCAGGGTATGTAGTCATGTCTATCTGATATCAGTTTTCTCACTTGTCACTACAATCATGACCAATCATGATGTTTTATAGACACGCTATGGTAGTTGACCACCCTATCCCYCAAATGTCCCCTCCCTCCTACTATAATAAAGTTCAAAACCTAAAATGATGCTTTGTGTTTTGCAGGTGACATGTTTTATTGGTTTCTGCTGCTATTCTATTGTTGCTTTATTGGTGTGTTGTATTCCTCTGATAGTTGGCCCTATCAATTATTTCTCCTTTGAAGCAAAAGCTGATAAAGAATATTACAAACAATATGGACCACCGTCCATGTATCATAAACCAGTCTCATACTTTGAAGAAAAGAACAGGATTGGGCGCATTGGGTGTACTGTATATAGTGCAATACTCTGTGTGATATTATTGGATATTATAATAGCAGCTGCGTCGTGTTACGTATGGAAGCATGCTATGAGCACTTTTACGGTAAATAATCAGACTCTGGATGCAGTCATTTTGATAAAAAATGTATTGTTATTATCATTATTTTGGTAATAATAATAGTATTTTTTCTGTTTATCCTCCCTTCATCAAAACCAGCTATTGTATGTTATTATAAAATTTTTGATATATAACGTGCGCTCTGATTGGGTGACGACCATGTTTACATCAGAGGACAGAGACATGCAGAAAAATTTTATAAAAGAACTATAAAACAGCCACTTGTGTTTCTGTCCTCTGATATAAACAYGGTGGGAGTTGAAAAACACTCGAGAAGCAAGAGAAACACTCATTATACTTGTGTTTCTAAGCTAAGTTGCTTCCCTTGTGTTTTTTTTGTATTTTGTTTTTTGCTTTTAATGAAAGAAGTCTGAATGTCTTGATCTCTCATTGGAATTAGTATGGCAATGAGGATATTATTTTATTGTCTTGATAAAATGCTTGAGAATTGATAAATGTACTTATTGATATGCAGATCAAACAAAATAACTAATATAATGATTCTCATAGACTACTCAATGCTTTTTTGATATAATTGTTTATGTGATTCAGACTCCAAGAAGAGGACGGCATGTTTTTGTGGGGTCAATCAACRCAGGATATAACCATTCTGTGTCATTTATATCAAGTGAGCCTGTTGGTGTCTTACAAGATGGATTTGTCATTGATAGCCAGTATCCAAAGCTACCAGTAAGTAAACAATAAASATATACTATACACCCTTTTAATAAGTCCTGAGGTATTGTATTCTCTGCACTTGATGTCAAATTTATTCTTTTGAATTCCTTTTGTATTCTAAAAATTTCAAAGACTRAGTTTGACGTCAAGTGCGGAAAACACAGTACCTCGGGACTTATTAAAAGTTAAAGGGTGTATACAATTACTGATATTAAAATGATTTTACGTTGAAGGTTGTCTTTGTATGGCTGTGCAATGTATCACATTGTGGCACAGCAACAAAACCTTTTCTAGTATCAAAGCCGTGAAAAAATAATAGATTCGGGAAAAGGTCACAGGTATAGGATAGGTGCACAAAATCATACAAATCATACCATGTCAAGTTAGCATGATAATAACTTCAGTCTCTCAGCAGTTAATGAGCAAAAAAGTATTAGATTTGGTTATGTGAAATTGATTGTTGATTTCCAGAGTTACAGAGATATCTATCCTGATGGCAGCCCAACCTGGGAAAACCCACCAAATCCYTCACTTTCAAATAACCAAGCACCACCACCATACACTGAAACAGCCACATTAATTGTACAAGATGAGAACCATGAAACATCTAATGGAGGAAATGATGATCAAACTATGGAACAGAACACAACATTGGAAGACCCACCCATGYTAAACACACCCTTCAATGATGTAGACAGATCTACGACAATAAGTGAACCTCAAACACTTAACGGACCAAATGATGATCATAGTATTGTTCAAGATCTGCCAATGATTAACACTCAGCTTGATGATAATGGTACCTCTACTATGACGGCAGATCCATCGTTATCTGGTACAACCCAAGACAATACATCAAATATATCTGCAATAAGGAACAGTAATAGCTTGTCTGATATATCCAGTGACAACCCTCCAGCATATACCATATCTGATCAGGATCCTACATCATCAACATTAAGATTTGATCATTCTACACCTAATAATCCCTTGGAGAATCCACCTGTATATAGTACTAATGAGGAATCCTCGTTATAGCACATTTGGTTTAGGGGAGTATATCCTAATCTTGAAACAGTCAAGTGAAACACAAATAKTATTTTTAATTTTTTTAATGGTCAGTGTATTTTTTTAAGCAACCATTTTAAAAATGTAGATAGTAATATCAAGCAATGTGAAAATTAGATATARATATTAGTATTGCTTTTATCACAGAAATATATCATTAGCAATTATGAATCACCCACCATGAAACACAGTATCTTATTCATACTAATTTTTGTGAGGCTTTAATTGTGCCATTTTAAAAAAAAGATCCGCAAAAATTATACAAGCAAAATTTAATACACTTCTATGATTGCTTTAATCATTTCACATTTTTTATATGAAGATCTTCATTGTAAATTGATTATTGTTTAAGTAATGACTCAATAAAAAAGGATTTTTTTAAAGTCTCTGCCTGTTTTTCAAGTTTTGCAAAATTAAATGCACTAAATTTATCCTTTTATCAAAATCGCGAAAATTAATGCTCGCGAAATATTTGTTCCAATGAAAATTAGTACGAATAAGGTACTTGCAAAACATACAGTAAATGTAGAGTAAATAYTCATTCCATAACAAACTTTTTACTGAGTGATAAATTCATTTTGATAGAAATTCATTGATACTAATACAAAGACGTTTGCAACAATCTSCACAACTTTGTTAGCAAACTATTTCAACATAAAATTAATATACTCACATGTGGCCTCTTAGCAGCCACCCCTGTGGCGTTAAGCAAGCATTGTGTGACAACATGGGCAGCTGCTAAAGAAGGCACATGAAGAGTGTGAAAAGAAAGTAAAAACAACAACAAAAGAGTTTGACAATCACTACTAACTAATCTTYATCACCATGAAACCAGGGGGAATCTTCTGTCATTTGTTTCATACTATCAGAGATAGTTCTGCCAGGAATGAAATTTGTCACAGAAGTTGAAATTCAAAATGGTAGATTCTTTCCCGGGAGTATTATTTTGTTGTAGAGAGGAAGGACACCATGTTACCCCAGGGCTACTTAGGTACCCTTTCAAATAGGGAAACCACTCATGGAAAATATTACAAGATACTAAAATATGTGTCAACTCTGTTTAATAATCAAATGCAAGAAAATAAACCAGTTAAAAACTATTAACAGTATGTACAGTGATTATATGCATGCAGCCGTTAAATAATGATACAAATCAAAACATCAGTGATGCATAGGATTCTAATAACTATCGAAAATATATTGCACTCATTTATATTTGAAACACAGATTGCATAAAATCATTAACCAGTGAATAAAAGACCTTAATATTGCCAATCATTCCTTGCTACAGAAATAGGAGCACAATCTCAAGTCAATAATGAATAGAATGCATGAGAAGTGGGATTTATATTCAAACTATAATGTTCAATTCGTTTTTCTATTAAACGCTCAAGGTATTGTAGAAGTGGGTTGAGATCATCATATTTTTCTTTCCAACATTCTCTCACCTTTATAACCAAGTGCAGCATGCTATTAAGGCTAGTGTAGAAAAATGTAACCACCTCAAACCCTATGATTATCTATGATGGCAACCTAACTCTATATTGATATCAGATTTGTGTTCAAATACAGACTGAGTTATTTATCT